TTATGCTCAACTGAACTGAACTGACGTGAACAAAAGAAAACTTTTCCAATCAATTTTATTATTAATTTTCAAAAGTTTTATATCTTTTATACATATACATGTATACAGGGTGTTTCCTTACACACAAATGGCTTAATTGCAAGAGATGATTCCTTGTACGGGAAGAGAGATGGTTCGATTTTCAATACAAATTAAGTCATTTATTCTTCAAATCGAAAAAAGTAGGAATTGGCGCGTTTCAGGTCCTGATTAAAAAAAAACGGCTCTTGGTAGACGAAAAACCCTTTTAATATAATATTCGTTGGATAATATTAATATACAAGAAATAATATAAAATAATTTTACAAAAACTTGATACAAAGTAAATTCATTTTCCAACAAATGACGAACTCAAAATTTTCGAACCAATTTTAGTTAAAATTGTTGTATCACAGTAGATTCACATAAAAGGCTTTAGTGAATCTCGTCTTCTTATAAGACAATCTACGACTGGTGTCTACAATCAGAGAATTGAATAGGTATAAAGCTTAATATGACTTCTATAAACTGTTTAAAAGCTAATATGCGTTTTTAACAGAGAGTTAGTTTATACCGGATAGACTGTTTCTTCAAACATCCTTCTATTAGATTTTTTTGTGTTTTTACCCAACGAATTATATGCTGTATTTATGCCATTGAGAAAACACTAGGGTTTTAAGAACGACTGGGTCTACGTCTCAGTGCCACTCGTCAACTACGACGAACAAGTGCCGTTTACCACCCCTAAAGCAGATCCCAACGGGTTACAACAACAACAACATGAAACTCCATGTGTAAAAAACGATAGTAATGTGTGCACTGTCCTCGTATCTTTGTAAAACTTGAATATATCATTATATACTACATTTTGCTTGAAAATATATAAAAAACTATATATAATAAATAAAAGTACTTTTTATATTGATTTTAAATTGATTTTTTTTAAATATTTTAAAATTTTTAGTATGTGCGCTTGTCTTTTGATACCCGTCCAGAACTCTTGGTGCAACTCTTTACAAAAGAATGGAATCTGGAACTGCCTAAATTACTTATAACTGTACAAGGTGGCAAAGCCAATTTTGAACTGCAACCAAAGCTGAAAAAGGTAAGCGTGTTTTAAATAAAAGTTGAAGTTAGAAAGAAATTTGGTATAAAAGAAATTTTTTTAAGGCATATTGACATATTACTGACATATTGATTACACAGTCTGACAATTTTTTTTCGTAGTCCTATTTTAAACACTCTGTCATTTAAGTATAATATGAGTTAACTAAAAAGACTTTAGAATGGTATCTCAAGAAAAAAGTGGAATAAACTGGTGAACTTTTTCGTGTGACAATTTATTTAGATTTTTTACATCAGTGAAGCGTGAAACATGTACTAAGTATAGGTACTACAACACCTGGTACTCCATAAACTTTTCATATTATCAAACACTGCAGTTTAATTGCAGGTGTCTTTCACTTAAAAACTTAGGTTGTAATTGTCATCCGAAATCGGGTAGTGTGCCTTCAAATATTAATAATGAGCAATAGCACGCAACGAAAAGTCATCATATGAGATACTTGAAACGCTTATTTCATGATAAATTAACCATAAAAAGGATTCGTTCTCGTTGGATGCCTCAAAATCTGGCAAAACCTGAAACCAAAATAGAAAGAAGACTGCTCAAGATTTAATGGCACTGCATTGAAACTCTTGTATAATATTGTGACAGGTTAAGAGTTACAAATCTATAAATATCAGCCTTAAACTAGAAAGCTGTTGACATGGAAGCATGAGTGTATCATAATAAACCATCCCCAACAAAAGTTGTTAGCAGTCCAAATATTTCAAAATGAATTGTTTGCTGGGTTTTCGGAAAAAATAGATATGTCTTTTCAGTCATTAGAGCAACGTATAACGTTCATTTTTAAATGATAGATCTTAGTTTTATTTTCCAAATATACTTGTGAGATGAGAAATTCAACCGCTATCACGGCAATATGAGCTTTCATATATTGATTTTTCGAGCATAGTTCGAATTTACTAATAAAGTTTTGATCTGGCACCTAATGAGTTCCTCTTTTTTATGCTCATCAACAATACATTTCATTGCCAATGCTTTTTCCTGGCAAAACTAGTCATTGAATCATTTCAGAGAATGTTTTCGTAGTATCTGGAATTAAATTAAAAAATGTTTTGATAAAAGTTTGTCCGAAAATAAAAAGTTAATTTTTATGAGCAAATCACTGTTTTTTTTATTATTAAGCCCCATTGAAAATAAAAACATTTCCCACTTATGTATGATCTGATATCATTATCGCAAAAATTACAATACTATATCATACTATATACACATCAGAAGAAAATTTTATCACTTATTGCGCACTCATTGTACTTTTGGTAGTGGCCTTTGATCTGTAAGAAGTTCTACTGGGAGAGTTACCATATGAATCTGGCTAAAACACACAATGAATATAATAAATCTGAAGTGAAAATGAGAATTCATACAGTATTCTATTCAGTTGGACTATAGTCAGAGTCTTTAACTACTGCAGCGATTAACTACAGTTTAATTATATGTTGGATATGAGTCAATACTACTCGCTCAAACCATCTTCATTATATCATTTTAACAATACGTTTACAATTGCTTAAAGTATTCGCTGTTATATTCTTGTGTTCGTAACTTTGGAAAAGGTTGCCAACTCAGATTAGCTGATCGGCAACTGACACCACATCATTTACCTATGCTACTGAGGTTAAATAATTAATTGATTAATGTCTAATAAAGTAAAAAATCAACTACTCCCAAGAGCATAGTAAAAAGTATGTTTCTTATAATAGTCATTTATACATCAATTTATAATCATTAATCAATTTTGTGTAATGCCTCTTGTTTTCTACTAATTGCTCTCAAGTATTGTTGTAGTCACTGGCAGTCATGGCAAAGAATTTCTCAATTTTTCCAAAAAATTATTTAAGTCTTTAGCATGTGCTTCTGATTAATTATGCAGTGTTGGAAAGTGTTTAAGTGAAATTGTTTAATGCACTCATACGATTGTCTATTTAAACACTACTTTATGTTCATTGACACTGAATTAATAGTAGTATTCAATTTTTATTAAGTTTCAAATTAAATGATAATTATATTAAATGGAAGCGTTTTGACACTTCACTACTTTTATTAATTAAATGATAAGCAATTGTATGATGTGAAATTATCACATAATAAATTAACAGGTCATATTGAAAACTTTGAAATGAATTATAAAAATTTAAAAAGTGAATAATTAACCTATATATCAACAGCTAACAATTTATACATAGTATACATATAAAAATCCCCAACAGTATAAAGTATACAGTATAGAGTTAAAAACAAATTATACATCTCTGCACATCTGCACACCTAAGAGTTTTGTATTTGTCAAGGTGGTAAGTCTATAGAACTACCTCTAATTTTTTGTCAAAATCTTTTAAGCGAAAATAAATCCTAGTACGCTAATGATAAAAGCTTAGTACGGATTTTTTAATATGAAGAAGGAACCCGGTGGGGCGGATGTTGACACATTGGGGTAATATGGGGAAAATTTAAAGAGTGGCTTATTATTCATTTTCATATCATAAATTAGAATTGAAATTTTTGATTTAGAAAAAAGAACTGCATAATCTATCAATCTGCTTTTATTCAATAAATAAATAATATAGGGACTGCACCTTCAACTTATATATGCGTTCGTGTTTTTCATCTTTAAGCAACATATTCAATATTCCGTGTAACGTATTATGCACTGAAGTAGTACTATAATCCATTACTCTAGCTATCAATCTTGTAGATTACGTTGCTAACTCAATGTGATTTACATATGTATATAACAATAAATAAGATAAAATATTTAACATAACTTAAAAAAAGAAACATTTATTAGCTTAATTGGATTTGCTTTTCAAGTACCTGAAATGTTATCCTTACAGATCTTACGCAGTGCATCCAGTACGATAGCTGAATCTTGCGTAATTCATAATTTGGCGAACCATATTTTTAGAGTGATTTCTCAAAATCACGTTCTCGCAGTATTTTAAGTGTCTTTTTTTATTCTGCAGGATTTGATTCTAGACAAATATGTGCATTGGTAACATGTCAAGGTACATTACGAATAAATTGTACATACACAATTTCTTTTCTCTGGATTCGAACTACTCCGATTGTAATAGTTTATTAAATTATTGCCAAAATCTTATTGCTTCCAAATAAAACATGTTCAATCGAAGATGAAAAATATTATTCCATAAATTTTATACTAATATGGCTTAAAATTTTTTGCAATTTTCTACCATATAAATATAAAATATGTATAAAGTATTCGCAACTGAATAATATATAGCCAAATAAATTATTACTTTAACTGTAGCTAAGACTTATAGTGGCAAAATTGAAATTATGAGCCAAAATGAATTCATTCGAATAAGAATAGAATTTATGTAGTTTTAAAAATATTTATAAAGCAAAATCTGTAATGAGTAAAGGGTTTTTTAAATATAATGATAAATCAAAATATTACAATAAAAATTTATATAGACTTTATAAGGTTATATTAATATTTTAAGCATGTTTGACACATAGTAATTTATTAAATAATTAATAAATATTATTATTGACCATTATTTAAAAAATATTAATTATATTGTACTTAACAGTTGCATTAAATATTCCAAATAATGAAATATAAATTTACAAAAACATTCCTTGAGTGTTATATCGTCATATTAACTAATCAAACTAAAGATTTAACTTAAAGTTTTGTACATTTTTTATGATAAGTAATCCATATTTTACAAACCTTTACCTTTAACTTTTAAAGATTAACTATTTCAAACAGTTTCGACTAATGCACAGCAGTGTGTGTCCTCTTTTTATATAAAATCCATACAAAATTCTTACAATATCTAACGAAATCCTTAGAAAAATATGTTAATAAGGTGCTTTATTTGCATATTTTTAATGAATCTACTGACACGAATCGATCTCAAAATGATTCCGGCGTAATTAGTATTTCAAATTTGATTAATTGATACATAAATAAATGTCTAGAACAAAATCATTTTGGGCACGAATCTGGGGTGTTTGTCAGATTAGCTATAATTAGATGACTATTTCTCAAAGCAATTATAAAAGTAAATAATACGTTGTGACTATTTTTTTTTTTATTTTTTAAAGCCATAATTTCGAAAGCGATGGAAAATGGCTGGTAGCTAATAGTTGATATGCCGCTAGCATAAATTAAAAACGTTACTAGTTCACTGCTTTTTGAAGCCTTGTTATCATATACACTACTTGCTACTAAACAAAATTCTCACCACAGTGATAACTGATATTTAATAGAAATTTAAAAACTACGTTTTTTTCTGGACGTCATCAAATTGGCCTATTAATATTGAATTAGAGAGAAAGAGCTTGTTTGAATGATAACGCACATCGAATAGTGATTTGAGTTCCTCAAAACTCTTGGATATGATTGGAGAAATATGTGTTTGCATGACAGTGTGAGGATTTTATAATATTTAAGGATGTTTCGATATAATCTAAAACATTTTCTACAAAGAAAACTCAAAAGTATTGACTACATCAGCTGTATTAGTTCGAAGAAAACATGTTGTATGATTCTTCAGAGAGTACTCTTACATATTTATTATATAACAGATATCGATTACTTTTAAGGCTAAAATAAATGAAAAACAAATAATGATGGAACTAAAAGAACAGATCCAATATTGACTTGAAATATTATCAAAAGCTGTTAACAAAAAAAAAATCATTTTAAATACATTAATTTAAATCAATTACTTCTTGAAACATTTTTATTTGTTTATTTTGTAATCAGTGATTACAATCGTTTTAATAAAAAATATGAATTATATATTTGAATTTTTATTATATTGTATATTTTTTCACATCTTCCAGATTTATACAAATATTTATATATTTTTAGGAAATTCGTAAAGGTTTATTAAAAGCTGCCAAAACAACGGGTGCTTGGATTTTCACTGGCGGCACAAATACAGGTAAGTTAGTTTTTTTATTTATTTATTATTATGTTTTTTATTCTTATAATTGTTATTGCAATTAATATTATAATTATTATTATTTATATAGAGGCTAATTTGCACTGATATCTATTTTGATGATAGAGGTTAGTTTACACAGAATAGATCTATTTTGCATAGTCCTGATTTGTGATGATGTATGTTCAGATTTGTGATAAATTTTAAAGTTTTGGGTTTGTTATTTTAAAGATTATACAGAAGTATAACAGTATAGCCAACAGGGAGGCATTCACAATGAATGGTTTTTAATCTTTTAAAATTTATTTCATAAAATTTGAGATATAAGGCATTAGATATCTGCGAAAATGAGCCAGTGTATATTGAAGCCTATATGCATTAAGATAGTGCGATTTTTGACATCTTTGTGAGTACAAATTATTAAGAAACAATATGTTTATGTCGTGTGCGAGTTCGAGTAAATTGATGGTAAATAGTAAATTATGTCGGTATAGCAGCGAATGTTGGTATTTACCAGAATTTCGAGTAGAGTAAATTAAATAAAAATTAGGTGAATTAGGTGTTACTATTGTGAAAGTTTCATAAACTGTTTAATAAATAAATATATGAATTTAAAAACTTTTAACCAAAAATAATAAATAAGTGCAATAAATAACATAAGTGTAGTGCAAAATATCCTTAGAAAATTTTAATTTACTTTACCTCAATTTACTCGAACTCGCACACGGCGTTAAACTGTATTGTGACTCCAGTGCGCATTTTTCAAAATAGGTTCTTTGCTGGGTTTCGTCCGTGTTAAAGTGATTATTACTATATTAATTTTAAATCAAATAACAAAAACAAAAGATTCTGAGAGTTGGAATTGAAAACATTGTGTATTAAAAAAATTTTGAGCTATAAAAATCCGATATCATTTGTTAAGAATAGGTTTAGGTATAATGTTACACGAACCCTATCTATCACTACTTTAGCTATGAAAATGAAAACTTTATTTCGGTTATTTTTTTAGGGTTCTATTTATCTTAAATAGCTTTCATTTAAGTCCATATGCATTCAAGTGCAACCAGAATTTTTCTCTCCAGCACATATTTTTCTCTAGTGTATATAATTCGTAAGTACACTTTTGAAAATGTTGGACTTATCATTTTCATCAACAGTCAACTTACCCGATTGTGTACTTAAAAAATATATGTATTTTTTGAAAAGATTTCATATGTACATACTTGGGTATGTTGAGTCCACGTTTATATAAAAATCTTTGGGTGTTGAAACATGTGTCAAAAATAGTCACTAATTAATTGTTAAATCAATGTTGCCATAATATCGTGCATAATCTCTATATCTTGAACTATATGGAAAAAATATGTCCTTTTGATATGTCTTCGTTAATTTACTTAAGACTTCTTTCGCTTTTAACTTTAAACTTCAAAAAAAAAAAAAGATTGAAACATTTGATAAACTTTAACTGTTATTTGTTTTCGTTAGCTTTTATCGAATTTATAAGGAATGGGATCCTTATCACTATTCGGTTTATTTAACAAACTTTAAATTTCCTTACCTTTTTATTGTAAATATTTTCTTAAAAATTTTTATAGAATTCGTTGAATAAACTAATAAATTGAAATTAAACAGAAAAGTTTTAACATTAAATTTGCTTAGCAATATTTTTATAATCATATACTACTATGGATAACTGAATAAAAGTATTAAAAGTGGAATTTCTTTAGAAATTTTTAAAATTCAAGGAATATTTTTTCATTTAAATTCTTGGAAGTCCTAAGAAAACTTCGTGGGTTCATTTTTTTTACTTAAAACTAATTTTCTCTGTATGATATTTTCTTCATTTATAAGTTTTTCTTATTTTTGTTGCGTTTTAATTTGTTTTTCATTTCTAACCTCTTTACCACTTGTCTCACTTTCTCACAGCTTTTCTCACTTTCTCACCGTTTTTTCACACTTTCTCATCGTTTTTTCACACTTTCTTACATTTTTTCTCACTTTTCACGTTATTTCACACTTTCATTTTACACAATTTTGCCTGAAACTTTAATAAAAACTATTCTACTAAATAATACTTGCAGGTGTTACGAAACAAGTTGGAGATGCGTTGTTATTGGAGGGCCAACAGCGTTCCGGACGTGTTGTTAGCATTGGTATTGCACCGTGGGGCATTGTGGAACGTAATCATGAGTTACTCGGCCATAATCGTGAGGTGCCTTGTCATAGCATAAGTTCCCCCAGGTGCGTAGTAAATGAAGCAATTAAGTTTCTAAACGACAAGTTCATACTAGACAAAGTGTTTCCATTGGCAGCACTGCTGCCGCCATGTTAAATTACTTGTTAATCATACACCGCAGGGCATCCTGTTAGGATACATAGAACTAATGTACAGTGAACCCTGCACGTGTCTGTTATTTTTAAATTTCAAAAATAACAAATTCGAAATTTACCAAGTGATTTGTAGTTAATATTAATATTGTATATTGTATTTTATATTTAATAGATCAAAGCTAGCTGTGTTGAATAATCGTCATGCATACTTCTTGTTGGTAGACAATGGCACACAAGCCAAATATGGCGCCGAATTGATACTAAGAAGAAAATTGGAAAAATTCATCTCAAATCTAAAACTACATCCATGTAAGTTTTTATATTTATAAATAAATTCTTTTTTATTTAATTTTATTGCGTACTAAAAAAATATATTTGGTATATGTGCTGTGTTCAAAGTAATATTTTATAATGAAAGAGAAAGCAAATATTATTGATAGCTGATGAAGGTTTCTACATATATATATGCAGGAAATTTAATGCTGCAATCGAAACCAATTTCCCAATTTGAATGCAATGACGTTCCTAGCTATATCCATGTAATAAACTGTTTTCATAACACCGTCTATAACATTCCTAGGGTTATCGTATTTTTTTAAAATTACTGAACTGTCAATAGTAACAACTCACAATAACAACATATGTGTGTAAATTATAGTAAATCTGTTCGGAGTTGTCGCACTTCAACGTACAACATTTTTTATTAGATTTTCATTTTTATTTGCACAGAAAATAACTAGATTTTTATGTAGTACATATTTCATTCCGGAAACAGGTGCACAAATGTCACGGCTACAAAATAAAACTTTGTACAAACAATTTTCTATAAAGGAAATTGGAAATGTATTTATTTGTAGTACGAACTCACGAACTCTAAACTAAGCATACACGACTTTGATTAAAAGGATTTTCAGCTTTTATATAAAAGTATTGTCAAAGTTATTAATAAAGATTTATACAATGTGGTACCAAAAACAAATCTTTGCTCAATGACATCTGCGAACGGGTTGCAAAATCTGCATCGAGAGTGCATACATATTTTCTATTAATCATAAACTAACTACCATCTTGCACAACTGAACTTCCGCTGACTTGTCAAAACATTTGTGAAACTTAAACTTTCTAAAGTTTTAAACAATAATAAAGTGCGTTGTCGTATTTAATCTCACCATGTTAACATTTTCATATAATACACAGATAGTCCAATGGTAAGCTCTACGACGGTATAAACTCAAAATGTCTAAGTCATTCAAAGAGCACAGCATGCAGCATGAAAGTGTCCTTTCAGTGCTAAATGTATGTGTATTTGCTTGCACATTGAAAGATATATCTTGTATGCGTAACAAATTGTGTGTATCCTTGCAATTACTGCAATTTGTGTACGTTTAAAATTCCTTTTTTCCTCGTGCTCCTCTACTAATTGCGTTAAACGTGTCAACCTTTGCCGTTACGAAGGACTTCACACTTCTTGATTTGGTTTTTATGTCATTTTTTTCTTACTTTCAGTTACACATTCCAGCACACCCGTGGTTTGTCTTGTCATCGAAGGAGGTACGAATACTATACGTGCAGTGCTCGAGTACGTGACAGATACGCCGCCGGTACCTGTTGTGGTATGTGACGGTTCTGGTCGTGCTGCCGATTTAATCGCTTTTGTGCATAAGTAAGTGAACCCTACTATATACTCGTATTTAACATTGAATACTTAAAATATATGTTAAAGCTAGAAATAATTTATTAACGTGTATGTATTGGTAAAACTTAAGAAAAATATTTGTAACGACTGGTTTTCATCATCTCATGATTTAAACATAAAAGTGTAGATTCTCGCGTATTCAAATCTAAGATATGGCACTATAAAGTCTTATATTGATTGACAGAAAAATAAAAAAAATGTGAGTTAGAGAAAGAAGAAATAGCTTGGTGGGTACATTGGAAAAGTTGAAGAATTAAGTAGTTATATCATCTTCATTCCATTACGTTCCCAGCGGAACATTGGGCCATGACAAACTTTTACCAACTGTCACGATTTCCTGCCAGGGCTAATATATAGTTATATCATATTGTTATATTATGTAGTAACGTTATATAGTTATATTATATAGTTTTATTGCGTGAATAATTTAACGTATCTGCATCTTAGACTGGTTTTGAACCAATTTTATCGACTTTCTTAGATTGTAACCTTTGTTGTTTAGCTAGCAAAAATAAAACAATTTTCTAGAAATATTCTATATTTTGCTCGCTAAGAAATTGGACAGATGAATGTTCAGAAAAAATAAGAAAGAGCCTGTTTACTTTATTTGGTAATGAAATTATGCGCTAAAGCACATGTCATTTTGTCAAATAACTTGATCATTAAGGCAACATAACTCTTATTGTAAGAATAATGTTTACAATAACATCATTCATCTGCTGTTATTAATAGCAGTTACCGGTATCACTCTAATTTTGAAACTGACTATTACCTGAAAATGGTAGGCAATAAAACTTTATATTCTTGTGTTTCTCGAGTTACATAAAGCATATAACTAAATAATTGCTTGAACTTAGTTTTATAATCAACGAAAAATTTAGATTAATTTTAAAATTTAAAATTTTCTAAGAGTGGGATTGCCATTAATGATGCAGCATCCAATTTCTGTGTCACCAAACATATGTATTTGAAAGATCTCACATAATCTGTTACTACTTAATGATGCAGCATCAAATTTCTGTGTCACCAAACATATGTATTTGAAAGATCTCTCTAAATTTATTCATTATTATAGAGGGTTGCAATTGACATTAAAATATGAATATAGATCCTACGCGGATCCTTTAAAGTTTTAATACAGAATGAAAAGTGAGAAAGTATCATATCCATCTGCGACAGACCGATAAATTTTTTTTTTTTTTGAGAATTTGAATGATATTAGCAGCATATAGAGTTGTTTTACGTAGTTGTTTGCCAGCCTAACCCCACAATGTTATGAACACACTTATATAGATAATGCGCCAATAAAAAAAATTCCAACGGTTTTAATTGAAGTTTTATATTTGTATATAATTTTTTCCGTATTGAGAAGTGAAATCTATCTAAACCTCTATTGTTCTTTGGATCATATCACCCCGTTGAAAAATGCAACACTACATTGATACTCTTCTTTTGTTATTTTATTTTTTAACCACAACCATCTGACACTCCATAACGAAGCTAACGTAGTGTTTAGAACCATCTAACTCCTTACCCGCTGGAGGACGTTGGTATAGAATACATACTCGCATTAGTTTCTTTTAAAGTTTTGATGAAGAAATTATCATATTCCTATAAGACTAAACTGTTATGAGGAAGTAATAAACTTCTTGTTTTTAGTATTAATGTGGATGTTTACCGTTTACCTTTAATATTAAAAATTTTAACTTAAATAGTTATTTCTTTATTCTGATGAAGTATGGAAAGGAAATGTTAATGAAAGTATTGTTGATTGGTAGCTATGACATTTTCCCAGCTTTCTGACAGTTAGTAGATTGTTTTCTCAACAACAGTCGTATTATATTTTGAAATCAATAATGAATTGATACTATGAAATCGATTGAATCCTACTTCAAAAACGACTTTCCTCATTAAGTGAGATCGTTGTTAAGCTGAAAAGGTAAAGTTTGGGCCATATGAAGGATTTAGTAAAACTATCCAATCGTTATTACTAGGACAGGTTTTTAATTGGCACAGCAATGTGCAAGCTGGCGTTGTTAACTCTGCAAACAAATCAATTGTTGTCTGTTTCGTCTAATCTGTTTTAGTTATATTGAACATTAGCAACTCATAATAGATAATAGCTTTTTAAAATCAGAAAATGGATTTCATAACAATGACTGTATGAATATTGAGTTGGTTGGTTGGCTGGGTGAATATAATTATATTATTATAATTATATTATTTAATTATAAGATTAATTTTTCTTTTATGACTAATAATTCGTAATAAATTGGTACTTTTTTCTATAGTGTTAATGATACATATCAGACATCATACATTTTGGTCTTTAATTGAATATTTTATAATTTTTATACTTTTAAATAAATCCTACTGATTTAAGCCGCTTGATTTCAGCTGATTATGTTACGTCTAATATATGCCATTATTTTGTAGAATAATGTTCTCAATTCTTTATTTTTCAAGTTTTTTTGTTAAGTTGCTCTTTAGTTTTGATGTCGAAATCACCACATTTGAAACTTTGGCACCACTCCAAATAGTGTTTTCATAATAACTTTGTCACCATTCCGTGCTCTTTTGTATATTTCCATTAATTTTTTTTTTTGCGGAGAATTCAAGCAGAATTTTCTGTCCAAAGTAATTAGCAAATGTAATATTTATATCACAATATATATATATTTTTATGTATTATATATAGAGCCCCACTTATTTAATTTTTGCGTTTTTTTATTATTTATTGTACCTCAGCTAATATGTATTCCTCTTAAGTAACAAATTTACATTATATCTAAAATTCATTTATGTAAATATTTTTCTAAATTTTTTTGTATCTTTTTACATTTTTGACTTTAAAAATTAATTTTGAAATGCTTCTTATATTAATATTTCATTAAATTTCGAAAGCATGTCCTCGCCCTCAGCAAAATTTTGGTAGCCAATATTTTAAGTCATTTTCTGTGTTGGGACATTAACTAAATGAGCCATTCCTGGTTTATTGAAGCTTTGACAACGTAATTTGTTCTACTGAACCAGTAAATATTTGTTTTATTTTTTTAATTAAGCTTTGGTTTTCGTTTTCCTTTGGCCCAAACAGACGTACAAAACTCTAATTCCCATCTTCTGATGGTATTAAACTCAACCACATCCAATTGGAATTATTTGCCTCACACAACTCCCCACCAAATACCAAACAATTTTGGTTTACTGATGTTTGGTTTGCATTTTCGTATTTTATATATTACTTTACTTTATGTTACTGGCTGTTGAATTAAGGAGGCACATTCATTTTAATTAATTTAATTAATCTTCTGCCATTTCATACTAATTTGTAGTAATTATTGTTATTTTTTTTTTATTTCATCCCTTATTTCTTGTTTTCAGTTGTTGAAGCGTTAAGTCTGTAAATACAGACGTACTTTTACTTCTTATTCTATTTCCGGTTCCGCTCATACTACAACAACACTTTTAATTGTATATTTACTTACTGCCATTTTAATGTTTATTTTCATGTCCGACCTTTACTTTACACAGATATGCGTCAGATGGTGATGAGCAGCCTGTGCTGGAGTCCATGCGGGATTACTTAATTGGCACAATACAAAAAACTTTCGAAGTTGCCATGGATCAGGCCGAAAAACTTTATCAGGAACTTTTGCAGTGTACACGCAATAAAAATTTGGTAAGTTTGCAAAATATTTAATTGCATGGCATAAACTGAAAATTTATTTCAACGAATTTGTTGTGATATTTTCAGGTTTTATGTCTTTTGTCATTAAAGAGACTTTAGTTGAATGAGCGTTCGAAAATAGTTTACTTGTTTTTAATTTACTGGCACTTAAAATGTTTGTAAAGTACACTTTGAGGCTTCTTAAATATATTTTTAATGACAAATAACCAACGCAAGAAGTATTTTTCGACTTGTCCCCTCTACACATGATGGTGCAGAAAGTGGATGCAACATAGTAGTGACCAGTATGACCGGTCATGGGCTATTTGGTGGATATGTTTTTAGTTTAAAAATGCTCTTTTATAAATATTGTATAAGTTGTAAAGTTGATGACGACTGGAAAGCTCCTTTGACAGCTGCCCAACTCTAACCAAAGGTTAGAGTTCACTTACAAAAGAGTCCAAAGTTAAGATTAAAAACATACTGGGCTTTATTATGATACTAAAATAGTTCCATAAGTAACTAGCAATGAAGGTGTCATGTTAAGTAGTGGCATCACAATGTACTGTAAGTGCTAAGTAAGTTGATATAGTAAACTGAGGCATCAGGGTCAATATCAAGGCACCGTAACTCAATTTAATCTAAATGCAACAACTACCCAACATCATAAAAAATAAAAATGTCCGGAGTCATATTTGATACCAAACCAAGGTACCAAGGTTCAAATCCAGTCGACATTTTTTCTTTGAGGCCAAAGAAACTGGATAGGGGTAGTACAATAGATCTTTTGTTTGCATTACTTTTTATGAGGTATAACATACGCTATTTACTACCAAATTCTTTCTACCTAAAATTAGAAAGCTTTCACTTTATTTAATCTAGTTAAATGTTCATAAATTTTTATTTATATTTTTACGTATATCACAAATGAAGAAAAGTCAGAATAGATGTAGAAATCAATCCAATTTTTTACGTATATCACAAATGAAGAAAAGTCGGAATAGATGTCAATCCAATTTTTAATTTTTATTCTCGAGGTTTAATAACTTAGTTGGAATGTGTTCTTATGCTCATACTGTGAGACACAAAATATCATATTAATATGTGTGTAATTGTGGGTGTTATAACTGCCTAGGTTGGGTTATCTTAAAGACTTTGCTTTGTCCTTCTTTGTACTTCGTTGTTGTCCACTAGTTGTTGATTTTTCATTCATCATCTGTTGCATTGTCCATCCTCTTTGCTGACGATTTTCCTTAGCTTTTTGTTTCTCTTGGTTGCGGGTTTAAAACCTTCGTTTTATTTACGTTTGAAATCTTGTCTGGATTGTATACTCTTAATGGATTATATTTAATGATTTAATATTAAAAAAAAATTCATAAAAATGCTTCATACAAATGAATTTCACTTGACATATTTATTATTATTTTAAAGAATTTATATTAAAAAAAAATATTTAATAGCACTTATCAATCATTAATTCTGTTTGCACTGTTCAGCAGCAATTGACCTCAGCTTCTTCCTGAATTACTGAAGTACTGAAGTCTTTAAATTTATTACTTTTCTGTAATTAATAAATTAAAATTAAATTTTCCTTGCCTGACAACATTTTCCGACGGCTTCAATTTTCAATAATTCATTAAATTAATTCTGTAAAAATATTTTTTAAAAATTTCCGCCATGACATAGCAATCAAATAAAGTTAAATGGACTATGAAATTGTGAGGAACCTTAATTTAAAGTGAAGCAAATTTAACAAAGTAATTAATAACATTTAACGTTAATGAACTGTCTAGGCCTATGAAGATGTTAACATTAAAGTTAATTACATTTCGTGGTGGCAATTTAATACTAAAGTACCTCAATAATTACATTAAGTACCAAAATTCAAATTTTAATTGTTTTATATTTGTTTTTTTGTACTATGAAATAAATTAAAATTTGCGGTTTTAACTGAAACTTTGCTGTTAATGAAGGAATTATATTTTAGTCTAAAGTCAAATTTTAATTGAAAATAAAGCATTATGGAATATAATTTATAAATTATATATATGAAAAATATGTATATGAAAAAAGGGAGATTAGTTATTAGGTAGGGTCTGTGCTCGAATCAACCTTTGAAAAGATTTAAAATACGACCTTATCTGCATAAAATACTCGTAGTAATCAAAGTATTGTTCTCTTAAAAATTTTGCCTGACAATTTAAGTTGATTGTCGTGATATGCTACATCAAATGGAAATCAAAAATAAACAAGTCTTTGTATGGCGCCTGAAATGCAGTAATTGATAGCAATACGTGAGCGAGCTTTTTTGCAAGGACCCGATTAGACTTTCAATTTTGTAGATCAGTGCCTTATTGTAGAATACGGTACTCCACAACTAAGTCTCAACTGAAAATATGAAATGCTACCGATAGAAGTCAATTTTATAGACTGGTGCCTTATTGTAGAATTAGCTGCTCCACAATTAAATCTCAAATGGAAACGTGAAACGCTACCGATACAAGTAGCTAATTTGTCCCTGCAACTACGCCAAAGAGTCCCTCCTAAGCAAGATTAATCTAAAGCTCTCGTTAAGATATCTGAAGGGTTGTATGGTTTGCATTATTATCGTAAAAAAATATCTACGATAATGTTTCTACAACTACGGTGGGTTATACTCTTTAGTAGGAAAGAACTAACACATTTGTCAGGTTATCTGAAATGTCACAATAGCCTGCATTACCATAGTAACAAGATTGATTTGTTTGAGGTTATAAATAATACGTTATCTGAAGTTAATGATACGTTATAAATAACAAATGATACACCTATTCAATGTTTTTGTAACTATTCTTTTTTCGTTCCTTGTTATCTTAGACTATGTTGCAAAAAAATAGAAGCCCTTAGAAGCCCTTATCTCCATCTGATATTTCGAAATTATCAACAGCTAACGTTCTGGTTGTCATTCAAAGAGATGAAATTTTTTCTGCTTCATAAGATTAGCTGTGTAGTATAAAAAATCTACTTCTTACTACGTTGAAAGTCATTACCTTATTAATCTTTACAATAGTTTAAGGTAGAATATACGAATTGAGATTATTTTTTTATTTTAAAAGCAATTTTATTCGTAATTTATAAATACAAATATTACGCTTTATTTCCACAAAAATTTTTCATATTTTAATCTGACCCATAATTATTTCGTTGTAGATTTTAGTCCTTTTAATCTTATACTTAGATACTTTATCTTAGATTTAAAACTTTTCATACTAACAAAGTAGATACAAGCAACTGCCTTAGTACTAAGCACAGAAATGCTTTGTTGATCTTATAATCAATCCTTGCATCTTTTAGCAATCAGTTGATTCATTCGAAATAATTTCTGGCAGTAGAGATTGGAATAAGTTCAGCAAATAGTTGTAGGTTATAATGAATTATATTCTTGATCCTACCAGAAACATAGTCTTGTTGCTCATCCTATTGCTACCATTTATAAAGTTTCATAATTTTTTATCAACATGTTTCCATATAATATTGTCAGACTTCCTAATTTGTAAGTCTATGCCTGCAATACTCCGGATGTGTGTTAATTTTATTCCACTGTTCCGGCAACTCTTTATGCTCCCAATTCGTGTAATGAGTTAATCACCTAGTAAAAGCATATCAAAAACACGATTTATTATAACTTCATTATCTTACATTTTCTTCTTATTTTGTATATATATGTATACAATAAATAAATATATATTTGTTAAAATTTAATGTACACAGAAAATCATCAATTTGCTGCTGATTTTATTTTTGCTGAACTTCAGGCAAAATTCAATTTATTTGCTTTCTCGAATTGGTGTTACTCAGCCCACCACAGGATAATAACACTGCAGACGGTATTATGGTTATTTAGTTGGTGTTTGTTATTTTATGGCCCACATTTAGAATGAATTTGTATATCAAACTGTTGATTTTGCCGGAATCTGTTTCTGTTGTTTTTGACTAACGACATCACATTCAAATATCTTTCCTATGAGTTTTTTGCCAATGGGCAGAGCAACTGGTTTCGGTATTGGTGTCGCATGGAAGCACAATAACAACACAACTGTTTACTTAGCTGTCGAATTTTTATTAAGATTTTAATTGGCTTTTCATTACGGTTTTGTCAACACAATAAAAGCAGTCAAATAAATTATAAATTTTATTCCAACTTCCACACTCACTTTATGGTAGATTTAGTACTTTAAACGAGCACACATTTGCTTGTCATTCGCAGATTACAGTTTTCCGTATACAAGAGAAGCCCGAAGGCGAAGCGCAAGAATTGGATCAAACTATACTAACCGCACTGTTTAAGTCACAGCACTTAAGTCCACCGGAACAGCTTAGTCTGGCGTTAACTTGGAATCGTGTTGATATCGCACGTAGTGAGATTTTTGTCTATGGACAGGAATGGCCACACGGTAAGTAGAAGTGAAAAATAAAATTAGAAATATAATTTATATTTACCTTAGGAAATAAAAATATAAATGATTTGCATTTTAAATTAAATAGTAAAATTTTAAGCTTCATTAAGTAAACTTGATTTATTTAAATTTGATAAACTCGAAGACTGCCTTTCATTTATGCTTTCGTTATCAATTTCTCTTCGTCGTTGTAATTTAGGTGCCTTGGATGAAGCGATGATGCAGGCACTTGAACACGACAGAATCGATTTTGTTAAACTGCTTTTGGAAAATGGTGTCTCAATGAAAAAATTCTTAACAATACCAAGACTTGAAGAGTTGTACAATACAAAGCACGGCCCTGCGAATACTCTGGGGTAAGTTTATATTACTTAGTCGAATTTTAATTTAATGATACTCAAAGTTACTTACTATAAAAGGTTTTTATTTTATGATTATGTATTTAATTTGTTTTTTTTCGTAAATTTAGTTATATGTATATATAAATTTTTTTTATATTGTTTTCTTTTCATTTATAGTTACATACTACGCGATGTTCGTCCACATATTCCAAAAGGTTATATATACACCTTACATGATATTGGTTTGGTTATAAACAAACTAATGGGTGGCGCTTACAGGTAAAAACTAGATAAATATTTTTAGTTTATTTCGATATTTAATAATATATAAAAATATTTTTATTTGTTTTAACTATTAAAATATCTCACTATTCACGATTTTCAGTGTATGCATACAAATTTCAGTTACTAAATTTATCATTAGGTTTGAGGTAAATTTATAAAAAAGAACGTATTTTTACTTGTAAAAATGGCACCATATTTATAATTTAATTTCTCTTAACTGTAATAAAATTATTTCAACTATTTTTAAATATATAAATCCCAACTCTGTGGTGGTTTTTCGGAGTGCTTGCAAAATATCCCCTTATATTTACTATACAGGGTAAACCGAAAGGTTACCTATGCAAGCGACCATATCTTTTCTGTGTGAAATTATTTTTTATTAATTCGAATTAAAAAAATTTGTGAAAATAATCAAAATTTCAGAATACATTCAGTCTAGCTCGTTGTGGCGAACTTTTGCCTTCACTATGGCCTTCAAAGGGTTAAAAAATGAGTTGCATGCTTCACGAATGTGATCTTCCCATTCTCGAACAATGGCTTTCTTCAGCACTGGTATACTTTTTACTGGTATAATTACCAGTATAATTATACTGGTATAATTTTAAGTCCTTACCTTGTTCTCCAAAATGGTTAAATGAAAGTGCGCATCGGATTTGCATCTGGCGATTTCAAAAGCCATTGCGTAGACAAAAATAAGATTTTTTACCATTCTTCGTTTATACGAGCTTTATGAGATCGGTACCGGTGCCGGGTCTTGTTAGAACGTCCATGGTCTACGACTGAAATGTTTGCGTGCCCACAGTTGTAATGCAACTTTTAAAACATTTTATAAGACCCAAGCTCGATGGAAACGACTAGAGAGCATCCATCGCTGGTCACAGCTACCCACGGAAAATTACTTCGGGTGGCTATTTGTAGTCTCATTCGTAGTGTTTTAGGCTGTGCGTTCAGTTAAGAAAACACGATAATTTTGAGAGTTTATGAATTACTGAATAGAAAAATTTTTTTCATCAGAGAACACAATGTTTGGAAATTCGCCAAAGGAGATCAATTCCTTTGCTTCTTCGAATCTAAGTGTTTGTTGCTTTGGTGTAAGATTTTGTGCCTTTTGGAACTTGTAAGGCTTTAGTTGAACCTTGTGCTCATTTTAGAATAGGCTTTGGGTGCTTCGGTGACATATTTTAGTTCTTTGCCCATTTGATTAACAATATGACGTAGATTTCGTTTAAGTCGAGCCTTCACTTTCCGAACCATTTTTGGTGATATTGTTTATTTCGCCCACCATCATATCGTTTAGCGACGCTTTTTGTACTATTATAACGATTTATGGTAGTAACGTACAAACATTTTATTCTATTTGAAATACCATATTTGAGCTCACAAGTAACATTTGCTTGTCTGGTTGTGATTTTCCAGTCAAATAAAACGCAATTGTACTATTACATTTGAATTCCATTTCGAATAACTTTTTTTCTATAAAATAATTCGTTCAATTAGGACTATTTTGTTTTTCTCTAAATACTAATAATAATAAGTTTATTGTTTCGCCACTTTGGAAGTAATCTATTAATAAAATTAATAATGTCCATATAGTAGAGTATATTCTACATATTTCTTACATTCCTCTATGTTTTTTTAAGTACCAGAAAAGTGTAGTGCTCGGGTCTTAAATATGCTTGATTTGCCACTGGTGTTAGCTTCGGAATATAGTCATCTGATATCAATGGTTTCAACTAATATTCAAGGTGCTTTACCAAAACGCCTTTGTGCAGAATTTTAAATTAAAAACTTGATTGGTTTGTATTCAAACAGCCAAATGTGCAAAGAAATAAACTGTCATATATTGATTTGTCTAATCAAGTTAAATTTACGAGGGTTATTAAGCTCATGGCTAGTCTGTGTCCTCAATATGAGAGCTTTTTTTATTTTGACAGCTGTCTGAAACTCACGTGTCGTTATCTTGTAAAAAAACACGATATTCTATATATATCATTACATATTTCTCCTTCTAAACTAAGTAGACATTTTAAATAAATTTGAATGTTCTGTACGATATAGATATTTCGTAGTCTGTTGCTATTCTTATCACAGCTATGTGCATGTATGTACATTGATCAAAATATTAAAAATTTCCTTTCCTTTGTAATTTAAAGGAACCTAACCAGTACTTTTACCTTCTTAAAGAAGAAGTAATAAAATGGCAAACATTTTTAAGGCTCTTAAAGTAAAAAAGGGCAAAATAAAAAGTTAAAATGACATCAAAGTTGAGTATAAACATGAACTTGAAGGTAAAACCTTTTAACATTTTGGGTGATACTTTGTCACTGGAAATAAGTTGAAATTGAGTTACTTTCTGTGACCTACGTAAGTTACAAGAAGTTTTTAGTTGAGTAAGATAAGAAATAAAATTGTAATGTCTTAAGTAACAGACTCATGGTATATTGTAAGTTGGTGTACTGACAATGCAAGTATAAAATTTAGTTTGGAATAAATCGAATTTCTTTAATATAAAATATTTTCAGTATAATATTAATTATATTGTTTTACATTAGTTTTTTGATTTAGCAATTCATGGAATATGAAAATATTTTTGTTTAAATATTGTTATTAATAAAAAAAATTGGAAATTGAAATTAGAAATGTACTTTTATATGGTGTCTACTTTAGTTTTTTTATTTAATAAATTAGCTTTTACTTAAAAATATTCTTACATGGAATCTTTTTTCAATATTTCTTTGCAATAAGTTTATCGATTGTTTAAAACTGTCAAAGAACCTCTTCCAAAAAGTGGCAAAACCTTGATATTTAATATTATTGTTAAATATTTTTAACTTTCAAGGAACCTCTTCCAAAAAGTAGCAAAACCTTGATATTTAATTTTATTGTTAAATATTTTTAACTTTCTTATATTTTTTATTAGTTCAAATAAAAATCAGAAAATATTTACAATAATAATCACCCAATAAATGTTAATTAATTAAATAAAACCAATTTAAAAATAGAATCCTTTCTTAGTGCGTAATCAACACTTTTTTCATCATACTTTTGACGAGTTTGAATTTATTCTTCTTTTCTGCTTCATTCAATGAGAGTAAAGATATATCGAATAATGAAAAAATGTATCTTCGATTGCAATTATTTCACAGTTTCTTTTCACTTAAAGAAATTACAAAAACGAATTTAAAAGAAATATAAAATATATAAAATACAAAATACACAACAGCACAAAGCAAATTAAGGATAAATCCTAGGAGTAACTTGAGTCCCGCAGTGCGTATACGTGATATCAATTTTAAAATCAATTCTTCCCACATTTACACAGAAAAAAATTTTTTTTTCCCTTCCATTCAGTTGCCTTTATTTATATCTGCTAAGCACAATTAAGGCTGTTTTACAGTGTAAATGAGGATTCTAATAACAGCCTAATTTAAAAGCTCCCCTCGGTTTTTATTATTAGACATTTTCTATCTAACAATTTTTTATATATTTTTATGTTTTGGACTTTTTGTTTGATATAAAAATGTTAAATATTTGCAAATGGCAAAATTAAATTCAATTTTAAGGTATTTTTCCAAATGACTGATGCCTTGTTTGATTTTCCAATTTTGTAATAGTATTTGTCTAGACTTTTTACAGTTATTATTGTAATAGCTTTTTACGCTATTTAAAGACTTAAAAAAACTAAAATATCTACTAAATATAAAAAGAATCTTATTAATTTTTTTTCCACTAACGCCAAGAATATAATTATTTTAGGAAAAGAATTTTTCCTTTCTTGAATATTTTTTAAATTCCTACAAATCCTATTTTAAGCTATTACGACATTTCCTATTTTAAGACATTACGAAATATGCAAAAGACGTTAATTACTTAAACAAAAGTATTTCATTATGGCAAAAAGTAAATTTTTTTACTAGTCGAAATAAAATAAAAATTAAAAAATTAATTTAAAATCTTAAAGTACTCCAAAACCTAAAAAGTTTTAACACAATTTTAGTCTTTTAAATGTAATCCAATTTAAGAACTAGTTTATCCTTAATTCTTTAGAAGAGTAAAAAATACTAGAAGACAAAGAGCTTCATTATAATTTTAATTAATATATATATCCAAATTCAAAAATTCACTTATTATTTATTTTTTACAAGAATTAAGAGTACTGTAATAAATTCCAGAGAACATTATTATCAAAAACTACCTATTTACTAACTATTTATCACAATTTTAGTCTTGTCTAAATAATGTCTAAATATATTAAAATGGCTTATTTCAAATTCTTCGAAAGAATTTACTCTCAAGATTACAAAACATCAATTATAAGTAGCTTAAAACTTATATCGCGGAATACATCAAAGCTTAGTTTAGAAGTTTACCAGGTTTTTTTTTAAATGTAGTAATATTTGACAACGCTATTAGGTTATGTTAGATTATACCAACGATCTTAGGGATTCACTTAGGCCTATTGGCCACTCAAAAATCAAAAAAAAATTTAAAAACAAACTTGAACCTTTGGCAACAATTAAAATTCTTTTTAGAAATAAGTCCTTAAATTGGCCATAATCCTTAAAAATAGAATCCCTTAAAACAGTAAATCGGCGCGTCGGATATGATAGATAGTAATAATGCAGATGTCATGGCACCTTTATCGTCCCTTTCCATAAGAGCGACAAAAATGATTAAACGGAAAGTTTAATCTTTTAATATGGTTCTCTATATCTTTACGGGACATCTCAGTGAGAGTGCTGTATATTTTCTTAGAAGAATATAGTACTTGTATGTACAAATAAATACCTGCATATCGTTAAACACCGAAAGAATTCAACAAATGTTTGTATCATGTCGACAAAATGTCCTGATTTTTAGGTGTTCTGAGTCATTACTTGAAGGATTTCGTCTGACCAAATCATCTCCCTTGCAATTGTCGAAAATATTCCTATGATCTGGATATTTTTACAACCAACGCTGTTTAACTGTTTAAAATGATCTAAAAACTAATGTCATTTGGGTGAAATATGTTCAATCGAAAGGAGTTCCTTTAAAGTTACAGCAATTTAATGTTGACATAGTTCATATGGGGTTTATAGTAAGTTGCCAATGATATGTTCAATTTTCTTAGTTTTTCTTCTTCTTTTGCCATATTAAGATCACAGTAAAGTGTCGTATTTGAACAATAAAAACCATTCCTGGAGACGTTCCAAGACAAGCATGATTTGATCTCTTCCTTTAATGATTTCTTTGAATTATTATCATTTTTGATTCAATTTTACTTGGGATGCATACATTTCGGACTACTGGTGTAAAAACTTGGACTGTGTTTTTAGTATTCATACCTACTTTAAGTGATATATCTAGATGATATGATATATTGATCAGCTTCTTAAGAAGAATCTTATGTATGGAGTACAAAGAGTATAAATCAATAATCGGTTTGTTTTTGATGTTATTCCTAATGGGTAAAAAAGATGTTAATTTTTTATTGTGCTTAAATGTTTAAAAACTTGAAATGCATTTTTAATACCAATATTATCTTTAATTGCGGACTTAAGATGCTTAAGATGTTTTTGATGTTATTCCTAATGGTTAAAAAAGATGTTATTTTTTTATTGTGCTTACATGCTTAAAAACTTAAAATGCATTTTTAATATCAATATTATCTTTAATTGCGGACTTAAGATGCTGTGTCAGATTGACTAATTTCTTGAAAACCATACTATTTACATATTGCTAGAGAATGGATCAATAATTTGTTTGCTATTGATATTATAATTTATTTATAAATGTGAAGTTATCAGGGTTCCAGATAATTCGAATGAATTTTTGCGAGTACTCAAAAGACATTTAAACTATTTTTAAGATATATTTAATATACTTTTAGCTTAGATCACTTTAAAAGCCTCGCAAGATATGGAAGTAATAAATCTTGTTTCTATATTATATGTTATACTTGCCACTATAGTGAAATATTATATAAATTATTATTATTTAAAGATATAATTTTTATTGAATTTTAAATAGTTATTTTTTTATTTTAATTTATGTCAAAACAATTAAATTTTGTAGTATTTTTATTATTTTTATTCTGTGAAAAGCATAAAAAGTTAAATCCACAACTGTAATCATATAATAATAATAATAAATGTTATTTTATGGTTCTATTTCTGATACTGTAAAGTAAAAACATTCCCATGTCATTATCACTCTCACTTTAATCCACATTAGTATGGTGTAATTTTAATTAAATTTTGTAATTAAAAAGTTTTTATTACTGATTTTACTACATGGAGTTTATTGCCGATAAACTCAGTTTTAATCGATTTGATTATGCTTCAGCATTTAATGTACTACTCCATATTATTTTAAATCTGTAGAAGCAAGTAATTAAAATTGACATATTTTAAATTTTTACTTAATTGTGTTTAAAAATAACTTATTTTATTATTTTTATTTAATAATTAAATTATTTAATTAAACAAGTTGTGTAAACTGTGCATATTGCTCTTGACAGTTTGTTTATTTTATTGTGTTGAACTATTATCATGTAACATTTTATTACTTAAAAGTTAACACAAATTGCTTCCTCCTAAACACTACAAAAATAACAAAAATTATTTGCACTTTGCCACAATAGAAAGGATAATCCTCTATAAATAGTTTTATATGACCGTCCCTAATAATCTTTTCTTTTTCAAATATGTTTTTGTGCTGTGGCATTCATCGAACCTCAAACCGAACACAAATAATGCCAACACCATTTGCAAAGATACATTAAACCACTTAATCTCAAAGGAAATGTACGCTTATTTAAATAAAAAAACAAAAAATGTTTATGCAAATATATATAGAATGTGAAATAAATAAAAAATTGAATATGAAATAAAAATTTAAATAACAGAAATGGCTGGAAGAAAGGCTGTTAAAATACATTTTGCAAAATTCTTATTCAAAGAATATATTTATTCTGAGTTAAATATATTATGTCCACTACATTGTGCAATTAAATCAGTAGTATCGTTGAATATTTATTATATATTTATATAAAAATCTAATTTAAAACAATAAAAATTGTATTGGTTTATGCAAAAAGAAGAAAATGTGATAAGTGTGGTACTTTTTTCCATAGTCAAAACCAAGAACTACGAGTAATCAAACAATAGTTCCCTAGTCCAAAGTTACATAGTATTTTCAACAATACAATACAGTCTATACCAAATATAGTATTGTTAATAATACATTATATTCCATTTCAATTGAATCATTATTGTGTTAAAGTTGTTTTCATTACAATTTTATTTTTGGAAGTCTTTAGACCTTGACATAACATTCACACTACTGCTGCATGGCAGTGATATTACCTATATCGAGTCTAGAGTACTTACTGAAAATGCGCCTCACCTTTTTAGTTGCGACCTATATAAAAATTTTACGAAAATTATTAATCTCGTATGTGAGCAATGACAATTTTTAAGATACTATTAAAGAATTACGAATCGAAAGCGATTATCACTGAAAAGGCACAAAACTAAAGCTTAGTAGAGCAATGCAGGCAAGTCATCTAGTTGTTTGAAAAAGAGAGTATTTGTAAAATCGGTAATGCCATATTTTATGCTAAGCTAGTAGCTATGACGTAAATCAGGACAATCGGAGCATAGAAGAGCCCAATTAAGATAAAAATGCTTTGTAATTGTGGTCAGTTGAGAAACTTATTGAGAATGACCAAGATAGGTTGAAGTGCCGATAATGATTGTAAATTTTATTACATACTAATTAGTTTAAAATTGGCCAAAATTAAACAAATATGGAGTACATTAATTATTTGCACTTGATTCAACTCGGTTAAGGTTAAATGTCAGTTTTTATTTGGATTATTTCTATAAAAATATCAAGATCCCTCTATGCTTTAATATCCAATTCAAATTTTGTTCTAAAATTTCTATACGAGATAAGTAACATAAATTTAATCTCGAGAGAAAAAAATGGGTTTAGATTCCATATAATCAGAAGCAAACATTTTTTTGTTTAATATAGTTTAGAATAATGTCAATTTCGCCACTACTCAATTTGCAGTTTACCGAGTTATATCAGACAAAAGCTCCGAAACAATAACTCCAGTTGATGCATTGTAGTTATATTAGCTTCACATGAATAGTTACAAAATAAATAAAATAAAATACTATGATAATAATCAATATCATTATATATAATTAAATTTTTTTATTGCAAATAAGTAAATTATCATTATTTGCAAGTCTTAGATACTACATGTTGTCGTTCTGCAAGTAGATTTTAGCACACGATAGATCAGTTCACCTTTGTCTTTCTTGCATTCCTCTAAAAAAAGTAGTCTGATATAAAATAAAGAAAATAGAAGTCCTTGAGACCTTTTGGTGTCGTTCTGCACATTACCCTCGCCTTTCTAGGTTTTCCCTCAAAAAAGTTATGTTGATGTAATATATAAAAAATTATAGGCTTAAAGACTATTTAGAGTTGTTACGCAAGTTACGCACAGATCATCAATACCCATTATTTGGATATATATAATTATAACATATTTTCACTAATAATGCCATTTGAAGCTTCAAAGTTCATATGACTGACTGTAGCACATTTATATTATTCTCCAACTCTTCAATATATATTGCCTCTACAATGCTTCTTTATTGAAAATTTTGCCACTTAACAATTTTCTTTGTTTTTTTTTTAGGTCCTATTATACGCGCCGAAAATTTCGTCCTATTTACGCAAAAGTTATGAATAGTTATGCCAATGCACATCGTAAATCCTCTACATATCAAAGATGTGCCGGAGCAAATTCATTGAGTTTGGTCACAGGACTGTTGCCCTTTACATCGGAAATGGCACTTTTTGAGTTTCCATTCAATGAACTCTTGGTAAGTTGCGAATTTCGTAATAAATTCAGCTTTCGTTGTATTAAAGTAATTCGATTCGTTTGGTATCGAATGAATAAAAATAAAGCAATAAAGGAAGATATTCAGTAAGAAGTATTTGAAATTGAATTTGTGGTGGGTGTAAGCATATTTATTTACGAATTTATTTTTTTTTTATTGCTGAAAATTCATGTGTAGGCTTTTGTTTGCCATAAGTTTAAAAACACATTTCATTTTTTCTGTTTTATTTCGTTTAAAACGTTCATTTGTATTCTTTAGATTTGGGCTGTGTTAACGAAACGTCAACAAATGGCACTGCTAATGTGGACTCATGGTGAGGAGGCGTTAGCCAAATCACTGGTTGCCTGCAAATTGTACAAAGCCATGGCACATGAAGCAGCTGAGGATGATTTAGATACGGAAATTTACGATGAATTGCGTGCATACGCCAAAGAATTCGAAAGCAAAGGTTAGTCAAATTTTAGTATTAAATTTAAAGGCTTTAAGGATAATAAAATAAATCTTTAGAAAGAAAAATTCTATATGGATGTTATATGTTGGATTTTTAATAAAAGCTAATCTTCTCTATCAATATTTTCTGCTTGCTTTTGTCTTTTTTATTTCATTTTGCTAGGGTTTTTGTATAAAAATTTTAATATTTATTGATTAAGATATGATATAGTGACTATAATACTTTTAATTTTATTATATTAAATTAAAAAAAACAGCGCTGATCCTTCACAGTCAAACAGTCATACTGACGTGTCAACATATAGCAGAAGCAATTTCGATAGCATCTGACTACTGCGGGTCGGCCAACTATGCTTACTTGTTGTTGTTATAACTTATAAGGACCTGCTAGGACTTTCGAGTCCTAAACGTAGACCCGGTTATATTTGAAACTATACCCCCTTGTATCTTCTCGTGCTGTTTCTGATTTCATACTTCTATTTCTTTGGTTTCATTTAATGATTTTTTGCTTTAAAAACTAACTCTAAGGCTTTCGATTGTCATTTAATGCATTATTTAATCATTTAGTCTAATTTATTAAGTTATTGTTATCTGAAACTATGCATGTTAAGTTTTTAAACTAAATTTAAGCGTATTATACCGAATAATAATTACAGCAGTATAATATTTAATTCCTATTTTACGTCGTCATCTGTCAGGTCTATCAACCTGAGAATGCAATGTGGCTCCTAAGAACAAAATTCAAATTCCTAATTAACTAATATATATATATATATATGTTTTGCTGGGAGAAATACTAATTTTTGATAGTAATTTTTTTAACAAGTTTAAGCTGTTTGAAAATTGCTGCCCAAACCATTCATTTAAAAGTCGAAACAACTTCAAACTATTCCCTTGACATCTCTTCAACATTCTAAAAAAAAAATTAAGCTTTTCTTTCGTTTTACCAAGGCAACTATTTTATAATTCATAGAAGAGTACAACGAGTAATTTGGTATGCACATTTAAAGTATTCTGACCAGTTGGTACAGTCAAGTGTTCACTACGGAATACATAAAGCAAATTTTTTGCTTGTTCCTTCGAAAGTCCAATTGTTTCGTTTAAAATCCAATTTGTCTATTTTTTTTTTGTTTCAGGTATCAAATTACTGGATTTTAGCTATCGTACAGATGCAGAAAAAGCGCAACGTTTATTGACATGCGAACTACATTCATGGTCAAATCAAAGTTGTCTCTCATTAGCAGTCGCTGCCAACCATCGTGCACTTTTAGCGCATCCTTGCAGTCAAGTTATATTAGCGGATCTCTGGATGGGTGGCCTACGTACACGAAAAAATACAAATTTAAAGGTAAGGGTCAGTTTAAATTTTTTTATATATTTAACGTATCAAAATTTTTTTTAATGACTTATGCAATTGCTTATAATATGTGTAAATAATATTCTAACACCAATTTTATTTAAAATAAAGTAAGACTACGAAAAATAAAATAAAATATCAAAAGTTCTCAATGTAAGATTTATATCACTGAAAGCCTATGCTCTGTAAGCGAATCAAATGCTCCGATTAAGGACACAAGAAGTGGTCAATAGGCTTAACATATAGTAAGTCAAATTCACCTAACTAATAAAAAAATTAAACGGTCAATATAATGTATAATATAGCCAACCTTTTGTCAAACTGCGCAACCAATTAATTCAACTTTTTGAATCATAATAACTATTGTATAGTAAGTACACTATATAATAGTAGAATAGAGTGGTGTTAGAGTGGGGCTGGCTGGCACCTTACTGATATAGTGGGCAGAAAAATGAAAAACGTGTCTTATAGCTTGAAGTAAGCCATTGGTAGTGTGACAATGAAGGTAAAAGATATCGGAATTATAATCACGATATTGGGTAAATTACGAGTTATGAATTTCATAAGAGGTATTATGTTTGAAATAATTCGACCAGCGCTCTCCACCAGATAAGCACTTGTAGTTGACACAATTATGCAGGACTTTTTTTTCTAAGTTCCAATTTAATTATATCAAATTTGAGGCTTTCCATGTGTTTTAAGCATTTTCTTGGACATTCGTTTCAGTTTCTGTGTATATATGTATATGTTATGTTGGTTTTGTATTTATTTTATTAATAATGCTTCTTTAGCTTCTTTAAGATACGGTTTTATTTTTTTCTAAAAAAAATATGAAAATATTATTATATGTAGGATAAAAGAACCTTTCGTCAGAAAATATATGAAGTTATAATGTCATAAAATCGTAATGGCAGTAATGATACTTAATTTTTAGTAGTCCAATAGTTCAACATTTATTAAAGAATTATTTTTGATAACATTATCTGGTACATCCAGCAAGCTTGTTAATCATAATTCTTGATTTTTTTATTGAAAACAATTTTCCCAACAATTTTAATCAAACGAACTGCAATCAAATAGGTCTGAAGATGACATGTCATGGTTTATTTTTCCAGGTTTGATTATTGTAATAAGTAAAATATTAAAAATTCAATCAATTTTGGAAAGTATTTTTAAAAGTTTAAATTTTTGATATTTTATAATATTTAAAATAATAGAAATTACTATATATATTATTAATATATATACTCGAAACATCTGTATGGTCAGACAAAAATTCGATTAATTAAAATAATATAAAAATAATTTTTATTATTGTAGTTCATTACTTTTCGAAACCTCTGTATAAAATAATATGTATATATTTATATATATCTTTTATATTTATCGTTTTTCCATAAACAAATTAAGTTAATTTTTTTATTTATGCAATAAATAATGTCTCTTCGAAATATTACTGAGGCCTACAATATTAAAAAATTATAATATTTGATTGAAATTTTCCTAAGCTGTGGCTTTTAAGTTATCTTCTGAAAAGTTTTAAAAGAAGCCTGATATGTAAACAACGAATATTTTATGCAGCTTTGGTTCGTGTAGTCAGAGTGCTAAGTCTGACAACTATAGTCCAACAATTATATACCGACTTAGAAAATCCACAAATATATCCAAAGACTACTGAGGATGAGTAGATGGCAATACTCAAAACAACCGTATGCTTAGCAAAAAATTTTATAGATTAATAATATAATTTTGTTTTTGTAATTTTGTAATTTTTGTAATGCTATTTAAAATCCAAAATAATATTCTTTATTTTTTAGGTTATTTTGGGTTTAGTTATGCCATTTTATATAAAATGCCTCGACTTTAAAACAAAAGAAGAGCTGCAGCAAATGCCACAAACTGAAGAAGAGCACTTGGAAAATCAAAATTTAGATAATGACGATTCAGATCGCTCACATCCTGATGCAGAGGTATGTTATATATATAAAATATTTTATATTAATATTTTGAAATATTTTCATTTTTTACTAACTTATATGTATACATAAATATATTTATATAAATATAATGTTATAGTTGTATATTTTGTATTTTTATTAAATTTTAATCAAACACCTCTTAAATTTTCTTTAGTAATATCACCTTAAAGTATTACCAAAATGTTTAATATTTCAAATTTATGCTTATTGATGTTTGAAATTAATAAATATTTTAATGTAAATTAATATTATACTATATAAGTATTTTTGTAGAATTTTTATATGTATTTACATATATATATATATTATCTTTTAACACCAACAAAAACTATACAAAACACAAACACACAATACTACTCCTAATGACATAAAATAAAAACTAATACTTCTTTAACTCTAATACTATACTCTCGCTACTAATATTATTTCTAGAATGCTCTTACAAAAGCGAAAAGAACTATTTCAATGAAATGTAGGATGACGAGTAACAATAATCCCGAAAAGGTAGTAAATCCAAAATAATATTGTTACCATAAATTCAATTAATAATGCCTGTTATTTATTTATTGTGTGTTTTTATATGTGTAAACTAGTTACATGCCATATAACTTCAATTACTGTACGTAATTTGAAGCTCCGATACATCTGTATTAATATTGTCTGGCTCATACATAATGTATAACATGTGATTTATCTATCTATTTATTCTAATTTGAATCATTATTTTGTTGTGTCAATTAGTGAACAAATGTGCATTTAAAAATCCAACAATTTTTCTTTTCTCTAATCTTATTCCTATCTAGATTACTCTAACTAACTATGCATTTCCATAATAACGAATAACTATCCTTCAAATTCTACCTCAATTTATTTTTATTACTGACATTTCTGTTTCTAATTTTAGTTTATATATTAGTTATTGAAATTACATTGTGTACGTTTTATTTTTCCTTGTTATATACTACTTTTTATACATATAATAAATTTTTATTTATTTAACTTTATTTTCTAATTACATGAATAAAAGATTTGCTCGTTTTGTATTAACAAAATGTACATGTGGCTTATTTGTTGTTGTTTAGCATATCCTTTTGGTTATATTTTTGATCTATAATTAGTTTATTCTACAAAATATTTAACCCTTTTTGCTCATGTATACTAAAAATAAAATTAGTAACAAAAAAAAAGATATATTTCGGTTAGATTTTTGTACGTAGTAAGTTTACTTTTTACCTTTGTTACTATTGAAATAATTTTTTACTCACCGTCATTTCAACGTTATGTATAAATAGGTATTTTCTTCTAATTTATTTAAGAATTACACTATTTTTTTGTCAATTTTCAAACCATTATATTTTCTGCTTAATCAAATAAATATAAATATATAAAATAAAATATATAAACGTAGGAGTGTATAATGCAAAGTTCTATACAAAGTCCTAGTATACTCTTTACTAGGATACGAAAGTGTCTTCTTGATAAATATATATGGCATTGACACAGAAGATAGAATAAAGTATGTATTTGTAATAGGTTTTGGTCTACATTAGTACACAAGTTGTATAGAGTCATAAGATTATTAAACCCTATATTAAGTAGTATAAAATACTGCTCAGAACTGCTGTACTGCGTATAGCAAAGCTGCCGACTCTACTATCCAGAAGCTACAAGTTGTTTAAAGTCAGGCTCTCCGAAGGCTCTTCACAGTGCCATGATACATCCGCACGAATGACATGCTAAGAGACCTTAGAATAGATTCGGTCAAAAAATACTTAAGGGCAGAGCCATGAAGCTATATACGAAAATGGACAGGCTGTCCTACTTAGCACTACCTAATCTCAGAGCCATCACTAACCGCACGGGGCGATACGCAGATCTTAGCTCCGTGATTGAATAATCACGAAGCTTATGAGGAATACACAAATTAGTGAGTAAGATGGTTGGGACTCTGCAGAAACCCACCAGCTATCAAAAAGTAAAAGTGCCAAGATACACTAACTTGGAAAAGGCTCAACATTACAACACAATAAATGCATTATTAAGAGTAAACCTAAGTCTTAATAGACAAGGCTAAATGCACTCTTTGAATGCCAACACTTTAGTCATAGCCTTATAAAAGTCTTTAAGCACTCTAAGCAATGTGAAATTGAAAGAAAAGAATAAAAACTAAAATACTACTACTACTACATAAGTTTTAATAGATTAGTTCATGAATAAAAAATGTTTCTGTTTTAACGAAGAAGACAGTGCAAAGTATCTATATGAAGTATACTTCGGCTTCGCTTTTTTTATTAGTAAAACATAAGTTTATTTCTGGTGTTCGGTATTCAATAAAGCACATCCTTTAGAGTTTATTTTTGAGTTCTAATAAATGCGAGGATATTTTCAACAATATAAAAGTAACCATTTCTGCAGAAGATGTCCGACAATAGTTCCGATTGCATTGGTATAACAGCTTTTACATTACCGAAACATAAACTTATACCTAGTACTCAGATTACGATGGAGTTCATACTACACATAACTAAATCTGATAAATATACGCATGTATTTTCATGAATAAAAAATATGTAAATTAACTGTTATTAATATGTCAGTTATAAGTTTTTACATGACTAAAAATTAAGCTAATTTCGGGTATTCGGGATTTAATAGAAGACGTCGTTTACAATGTATATTTGAATCCTATAGAACGAAGATTTTTGTCATAAATAAAACATAACTCACTATTGTTCTAATGATATAACCATACTAGTACATCACCGATAAGCTGCTTTTACATTGGTGAGCTATAAACCTATTTATTATACTCAGGATTCGATCGATTGTGTTAAATAATATTTATTTTCTTAAAGAAAATGTGTTGTAATAATACTATTACTATTATTATTGAATTTTTTTTTTAATTTCATATATTATACAATAAATGATTTAATAATATATAATATTAATAAAAAAGGTTCATCAAATTTCTATAGAGACAACAAAGTATCTGAAGCATTTATAGATAACTTTCAATTATTATAGTAGTATATCCATAGATTTCGTTGCAAATCATCCAACTTTTTAACTTCTAATAAATGTTAAAGTAATTAAAGGTAAAGTTATTTCTTCATTCTACAATGTGAATATAATTTTCTAAACTAAAGGTAAACTTTATTTGAGAAACTTGAGAAAAAAAAATTGTATAAAAGAAATCAAATCATTCAGTGTCTTTAATAGTATTTCTTATCTTCAGTCTTTTCTTAAGTCATTGATATGTATTGAACTTATTTTATTTAGTTATGTTATTCAAGAGGACTAAAGAGAGTTGTTGGTTAAAAGGCTTTTATACCGTTATATTATCGCAGTCTTATTAGCAACTGGTTATATGATTTATTGAGTAGACAGTAGTGTTAGATTTGCTCCGTGCTGTTTAAGATACTCTACAGTTCATTATTATTTCTACTTGCAGATCGGTTTACCTTAGGTAGATGATCTCTACTACCAAATAGATTACCGCAATTTTCTTTCCCTGTAACATGTCTAGTTACATTTATGATAGTAAATATTTTCGGAAATTCCCATTCTAGCTTCGTGTTCTCCGATAAGCTAATAAACAGAAATAAAAGGAATCTCTCTAAAGTGACGGTAGTAATGATAAGCTTCTGATAATTTCATCCGTCACTTTAGAGAGATTCCTTTTATTTGTGTTTGTTAGCGCTAACGTTTGCTTGAGATTGCCTTAGTGGCAATAGTGTTTTACTAGTTCCACATGTTGCAAGATTTTCTACAAAATAATCCACAATTCATTTTTTCAACGAATTTAGTATTAATAGTTCTATAAGCTCTAGTTCTTCAAAAGTTTCTGGAATGACCAACTGTTTCGTCAGTTCATTACCTTCTATGCTAACCTATACTAATTTATTAAAGGTATTTTGAATGAATAAAACAACATATAATTATAAATAGAAAAATTACAAAAATTTTTATTTCAAATTTAAAAAGGTTTATAAATATAAAAAACATTACTGTAAAAAAAAATATTTATTTTTCTATGATTTTCACTTTTAAAAAATGATCTATGGTATGTAAAATTGAAATAAAATATAAACAACGTTCTACAAGTTCAGATATGGGAAAATTGTTATTAGGATCAGGCGTGAGGTTTGAATCCATAATAAATATTTTTTCTATTAATTTTTGAACTAAAACTCATCAAATCTTTGAAGCATTTGTATGAATTGAAGAACACTTCAATAATTATTCGATTTTTATATCACAAGCAAATCCTTTTTTCACTCCATACTTAATGACTGGTTAGGTTTAGGATAATAAATATTTTATGTGAAAATATTTTAGTTCATTAAAGATATGAGTAATATTTTTTTTATAAATAATAAAACAAATAAATATAAAAAGCAAAATATATAATAAAAAACTTAAACATCGTTTTGCTTTGAACTTTTAACCTTTCCAATAATAAAGTGTTTATATGTATATTTACTAATTGAGCATTGACTTAGTAAACCAAAAAATGTATTATGAACGGATAATTGCGCTTTATAAATGTGTTTCCTATTTTTTGTTTATTTTTTGTGAATTTTGTACATATTTGCATTCATAAATATTATGAACTGTAGAAAATAAAAGTATTAAATTTAATTGAAATATGTAAAATATATTTGCATATTTGCATAAATAACCACAGTTCATCCGATGCATAAAATTGCACTATTTTTTACATAAACAATTTATCACCGTAGGGTATAAAAACTTTATCATTTATTAATTATACATTTAATCTAAAACTTTCAGCTGGCGTTAAAAATGTATGCACATATTAAAATGAAATATTCATTTTTAAATAATTTTCTATAAAATTTAACAATATTAATTTTTTTTCTTATGTCTTTTTCATTAACTATTTAAAGTATAAACTAATTCACGTTGAGAAATCCTCGCCTTCAAATCATAGTCTAACCCAATCAAATCACGTAAGTGAAAATATCACTAAAGATTTCGCTATTGAGGCTTTTGTTTGAATTATTTTGCTCATTAGTGCAATATATCTCGCTATGTCTTTATAACTTAAATATTATTAACTTAAATAATTAAAAATATAAACAGTTTTTTCCAAATGCTTCGCGGTGATATATGCTAATGCAGTTTAGACGCTTGATTATCGCAGCTTATATGCCTAAAACACAGCTTCACATCCTTAAATTTTATATAATATTTTCAATATTAATTTTTTTTTAAGAAATGATTTTTGCTATAATAAACGCAATTTAATTATTTATTATACACCCAAATTTTGTGTTTTTCAAATAAGCTATATTTGAATATGTATGTTTTTATAAATATCTTTATATTTTTTGAAGTATATAAATATTTTTATAAAATATATAAATATTTTTGTAAAATATATAAATATTTTTATAAAATATATACATAAAAATTTTTATAAAATATATTTATATTTTTTGAAATATATAAATATTTTTATAAAATATATAAATATTTTTATAAGATATATAAATATTTTTATAAAATGTATAAATATTTTTATAAAATATATAAATATTTTTATAAAATGTATAAATATTTTTTTAAAATATATAAATATTTTTATAAAATATATACATATTTTTTAAAAATATGTCATATTTTTACAAAAATATATATTATTCCTTTGAAAATATAAATACTATTATAAAATATATATATATATATATTATGTATATATATTATATATATATATATTTTTTATATTAAGTTAAATTATTATCCAAGAAATAATTTTGACATATTTTTTATATTATTTATAAATTCATATAAAAAATATATATAATTTTTCTAATATTTTGAACTAAATAATTTTTCTTATTTTTAAATTAAGAAATATAAAATTTAAATAATATATAAAAGAATTTTCTCTTTAGTATAAAATTTTTTATGATATTTTTCATAAACCTGTGGCAACAAAAATATTAATTGATAATTTTATTGCTTCAGTAAAGCACATAAAAGCATTTTATTTAATATTTTTTGTATTTAAGCTATACTGTTATAGCATAAAAATCGACTTCAATAAACATAAGTTTTGAGAAAATTTGTTAATATGAATTAAAATTCTACAAAAAAGTTCATAAACTCTATTGGCAAGGTTCTTCACTATTTGTAGTGAGATTTCCTTTTTTAGTTATGCATATTCGTAACGTTCCAGTACTTTTAAACGAGCTTAATAGTGTTTATTGTACAATTGCAAAAACAAGGTTTCTTGATATAAGGGTTATTGCTGGCTGTATACTATTTGAGTTGAGTGTAATTTGTCATAGATGTGGTTGAAACTTATACGTTATAATATACGTTATGATTTTGTATTACAAGTACCTAAAACCTATAAAATATATTCCATCAATAAACAAGATATTAGTACATTTTTAAAATGTGATCAACCAAGTTTTATCCTATTTTGATTTAATCTTTTTAGATTTACAGAAAGTCTTTATGCAAATATATATAACTTCCAAAAGTTAAGAGAATAGCTTGCACGTTAATACCTACATATACTATTGTCAAACGGACTTTGTTTAAACCATTAATCTCGACATATTACTTACCACTTCATATAGTTATTGAGGAGACCTTTTTTTTCTTGAGTAGAAATTTAATAATGCAAAAGTATTATTAAGTAGTATTATTAAATTTATTGCAGCTTTTTTTATCAGAAAGAGAAAGTATGAGAAATAAAAAAGTGAAAGAAAAGATTATATTTATGTTTTTCATAAAGTAATCGATTGATCGATTGATAATTGCCTAAATATCTCTTAATATTTTTTTTTATTTTTTCAAACTAACTTATTCTTTTTAAAAAATTTTATAAAATAGGAAGTGAAAAGACAACAAAAATATTTTGTTAATTTATTGAAATTTTTGTTGTTGTCTTTTCATTTCTATTTGAACGCTTTTAACTTTTAAATAGTTTCTATAT